AGGTTTTGTCTCCTTGAATTTAAATAAAGAACTTGCAAGCTTGAATCTTATTTTAAGGTGTTTTTGCAGTTTGAGTAATAGCGAATGAATCCTTGCCTTAATTGGGAATGAGCTTGAATGGATGATTGATGAATCTATAAATGATGGAATGTTGAAATGTTGTTTGAGTGGTTGCATGATTGGAATGTTTGTGAATAAATATATGTGGTTTGGAGGCATTAATGGGCATTGATTGTATGAATTTTAATGCTTTGCTTATTTGACCACCAAGTGCTCGATCAAATTCTCAAATCACATTAACTTTGTTTTTTATGAACATATGAATGTCAATTGAACTTGAATGTCAATTTTGTATAGGTGTTTTCCCGAATTTTGATTGATTGACTTATGGTGTATGCCTCCTTTGCTCACCTAAGTTTATCAATTCGATACGATTTTGAGCAATCGATTCATACACATATCTTGTTCATATAGGTTGTTTCTTGCCTTTGGGCACGGCATCGAAGCACCTAAATTAATATGTTGTCATTAGAACCAATCTTTCAAGACAATTAATTAGCCAACATTGCTTTTCACCTATGCACCCTTGTGTTTGATTACACTCAAATTATAGTGTTTATCACTCCGGTGTTTGATACATTTTCCCCTTCTATCAATGCATCTTTAGTATATTTTTTTTATATTTTAGATAAAAATTATAACTATTTGATTAATGTGCTTATAACAGACATAAGATGTATTTTAGTATCATTTTATGCTATTGTTATTTTTTGCTTTTCAAGGTCAAACACGATATAGGATGATTTGGTTCATCAATTGGATCAAGTTGAAGGACCAAGAAGTAGAATTACTAGAAGATCAAGGTGGTTCGTCTGTAAACGAAGCCAAATGGTGGGGAAGTCTTCAAGAAGTCGTCCTGTAAGCCCATCATGAGTCCCCAAGAGAAGTTTAAGCCCAAGCCTGCATCGAAACCCACGTTGGGATTTGCGAAGGTGCCAACCGCCGCTGGGCCAAATCCATCACGTTGTGTGGAAAATACATGGGGAGATTACTTGTGGGCCAAACAAGCCAAATCCGGAGGAAAACCCTCAAAAGCCCTGAATATCGCTTGACCGCCGTAAGCCCAAGCCCATGGAAGCTTTGGGAATATTCCTTTCTTCTTTCCAAGGATAAGAAATCTGAGTCCCATGGGTATCAGTAGGGGTGGAAATCGGTACGATATCAGTATCCCAATACCAAACACCGAAATTCTGAATACCGAATTACACCCTAAAGTCAATCTCAATCCCAATCCCTAAATAATTTCGGTATCCCAATCCCATTTCCTAAATTTTGGTATCCCAATTGGTATTGCGGTGTCCCAATCGGTATTATCGAATGCAAAATTAATTATCTTTGTAATTAATAATTTAATTTATAAATTAGATTTGATTGTTTAATTTTGGGTAAAGAGACTAAGCAAAGAGTCTTGAATTTATCTAGAGCTAGGATATGGATAAAGAGAATGGAGGAGGGGTGACATCTCAAATTCTTGTCATTGGTAATCTTTAATTTGATGAATTGGAGGCTGAGAGACGACCAATCCTAGTGTTTGTTTTTTGGTGTTATGAAAATAAAAGAATATTAGGTGAGAGAAGAGAGTGACTTAAATTGGAAAGTCAAAATTGAGTTGGATGAGGCTTCTAAGTTGTGAAATAGTGAAGAATGAATAAACATTGTGTGCTATATTTAATTAATTTTTAATTTTTGGTGTTTCTCGGTATTTCGGTATATACCAATCTCAATCCCATAATCCCGATTACCGAATAGCACTCCAAAATGAATCCCTATCCCAATCCCTAAAAAATAAACTGGTATTCGGTAATATCAAATAGTGATAAATTCGATACGATATTTGTTATATCCCAAATACCGATACCAAACTTCCAACACTAGGTAACATGACACCTTTGGTCATGTTTTAGGAGGAAAATACCTATATTTTTCTTCTACTATAAATAGAGGGTCAGCTTATGGGATTTAGTAGGCTGCAAAACATTACTAGAAATACCCTTTATTACTCAATCAAAGAGTTACTCGGCTCAAGGGAGTCGAATTAACATTCATATGAGGGTGCAACTAAGGAGATGTCTTCATCATCGATGGTGGTGCCATCCTTCTCTCTTATGTATTGTTAGTTCAATTTTGTTGTTAAAGATGTGAATTCTATTGATGCATTTTGCATCTTCTTCTTATGCATAATGAGATGCTTTTGTAATTGTTTATCTATGTTAATCGATACTTGTACCATTAGATGCCTTATTCATGTGATGCTAATATTATTCAAATGTCTTAGCTTCATGATGCCCTAACAATTCGTTGCCCATATCATCTACTATGTGCTACTATAGTATTGTTTAAGGCTAATTCCACTAGCAAGGCCAAACTATTCAAAAAGTGTCATTTGTGTTCTAAACTATTCAATATGACAAATCTGACACAAATTATTATATGTTAATGTTGACCGGCGTAGACTGTTAGTATTTAAGCTAAAATCTAGTCAACATCTATGTGGTTTGTGCCAGATTTGCCATATTGAATAGTCACAAATGTCACAAAACGCATATAATTCGTGCCAGATTTGTCATATTGAATAGTTTAGGACACAAATGACACTTTTAGAATAGTTTGGGCTCTTAGTGAAATTAGCCCTATTCATGTTAAGTTGTCAGGAAACTACTCTTATGTGATATGTCATTATCTTATGCATGTATGATATGGAATGATCAACCATCCATACATGACTGTTAAATGTTCGATACCTTAGATCAACAATAATATATACCAATGTTATGGTTATTAGAGAGTCACATTTAATAATGTGTTATCCATACTTTCTTGTTTGATTAGTCTAATGGCATGAAGCGAAGGCACATAGTAGCTAATTAATTATTGTTCATTTTGCATGTGTCAGGAGTTCGATTAGGAATGCTTTAGTAGAAGAATAGGGTTGCATGATAGAAGATGCATCAATGCATGTCATTATGAATTATGATAATCTAGGATTAACTTTCTCATCAATTGCGTATCCTTTACTTATCATATTATTTAGTTTATGTTTTACTTTATTTTGCATCTCACAAATCACTAAACATAGGGAATCTTAAACCATCTATTTTTTGCTATATCTTTTTTTGAGCATTGAATGATTGGTTGTGAGTCGTTATTATTAAACGACATTGTGGAATACGATTCTAAACATGTCTAGGAATTTTATTACTTTGATTGTACATACCACTCGCACGCATCAAGTTTTTGGCATCGTTCTCGATGATTCCTAATAGTATTTGAAAGCATCTAACCATCTTATGTCTCTTTATTAGCTTTAGATTTAGTTTGTTTTTTAGATTTTCGTTTATAAGTGCAGTTTCCACTAGAAGAGAAACACAAAACCAAAAGATCGTGAATGAGATCATCAAGGAAGGAGGAGCATTGAGTTCATCCTTTTTGAGATAGAAAGAAGAAGCACCTAGCTTAGAAGAGGAAGTTGATCTCGAGTTGGGAGAAGGAAATTAGCAAAGGGTGCAACTTCTATCTTGAAGAAAAAGCATCCTTTGTAACATGTTCCACAATAGCCACAATTAGGGAGGAGCAAAGAATGAGGATCCACATACTCTATATGAGTATCAAGATCAAGAGCTTTCAACATTACTTCGAGTATTGCTACACTATCAACAACCATGGAATGTGAGGTTCACAAGAAGGAGTGATGATGATCCGTGCAACATCTAAAGACGTTTTTGGAGATTGTAGATTCCATTTTTGGAGATGAAGCCATCAAAGGTGCCATTTGATTGTGCGTGTTCCATTTTTCACCGATGAGAATGGCAAAAAAGTGGCTGGACTATCATCCGCCCAACACCTTCACCAATTGGAAGACCCTTTCACAAGCATTCATTGAGGGGTTCTTTCCACCTTGGCGTACAGAGGAGCCTAAAGATTATATTATTCAATTCAACAGAAGGAAGGAGAGACATTCTATGACAGGGTGAAGAGATTCCAAGAGTATTTAAAGGCGTTCCCCCATCATGTATTCACCCAAGAGAAAGTATCTAAGTACTTCTCCAAAGGTCTATCGAGATACCAAGATGATGGTGAAGCAGTCACCCGATGTAGATTCACACAAATGACAGAGTGAAATGCAGGAGCACTTCACCACACTTGTAAGGAAGTCCAAGAATTGATCCAAAGAATCAGTGATACAACCATTGGAAGAAGCCCAATTAAGCGAGGAAGTGAATATCATCTTGCATTAGCAAATGAAGGAGTTTTCTCAACAACTAAAGGATGCTAAGATGGAGTCAAAGAAGGAACTAGTAGCAACCTTGTTCATGCGTGATGCATGTGAAGAAGAAGACCATGACGATCAAGATTGATGGAACCTTGAAGGGAAATGACATGATGATGTTAATTATGGGAATCAAGGTTACTAGGTTACCAAAGGCAACCTCAAGAAGGATATGCGCCCATATTGGAGCTACAACCAACCCCATGTACCATATGGTTAATGACCAGTCCAAGGAGGAAGGAAGCCAAATGATTATCCGAAGACCACTTTAACAAACGCCTGCTATATTCATGATCAACAATGGAGCAAAAAGTTCAATCCGCCCGAATTTGAGAACTAGCCACAATATAACAAACAAAGAGAAGGTTCTTCATACCATCAACCCAATCATTTCGAGAAATTAGAAGCAACAATTCATGACTTGCGAGCCAGATTTTAGGACATCGAACGTCAACTTTATACAATTCAGTTCTATGTGAAACGGATCATTGCCCACTTCTAATTACCGCTTCCAATCATTATCATTCTCTTTGTTAAACAAAGGGGGTCCCGTTAACTGACTTGGAAAGGCTTAAAGTCTTATATACATCGGGCCGGCCCAAACTGTTGCTATCCCAAATACATGGCCCAAAACGCGGCCCTTTCACTTCGGGGTTTCAATCTTCCCATCTGTAGTATAAATTGGCACTAGGGTTTGGAATCACAGAGTTTCTCGTTTTCCTTTCCTTTGGCAGCCGCAAGTAGCTTGAAGGTAAAACCCCTACTCCTCCAATCCTGTCGCTTGATCGTTCAATCAGCTCTTCGGATTTCTAACTCCACAGGTTCTGTTGCTTTCTTTCTCCGGTAGGAAATGGCTCCCGCCGCGAAGAGTGGTTTGGCCGTCGGTCTGAACAAGGGGCACATCGTCACCAAGCGGGATTTGCCGCCCCGTCCATCTGACAGAAAGGGGGTACGTAGTCCTTTTTCTTGCCTATACATCTGTCTGTTTCAATACCGGATTTCCATCTCTGTGCAGTTTTCATGTCCCATGGATTCTAATGATTTTTCCCGTTTTTCTGATTGGTCGATTCTGTATTGAAACAGAAAACAAGCAAGAGGGTTCATTTGGTGAGGAACCTTATCAGGGAAGTTGCTGGATTCGCACCGTACGATAAGAGGATCACTGTGCTTTTGAAGGTCGGTAAGGACAAGAGAGCGTTGAAGCTGGCCAAGAGAAAGCCCAGAACCCACAAGAGGGCCAAGAAGAAGAGAGAGGAGATGTCCACCGCACTCCGCAAGATGAGGTGAGCCCTCCTACAGCTATTACCTATTTCCAGGCCCGGCCATGGGCCTGTGCTGGCAGGCCCGCCAGCACAGGGCCTCACATTTTGAGGGGCCTCCATTTCATACAATAAGGCTATGTATTGGTTTAGAACAATTGGGCTATATTAATGGCCCTTATAAGTTACTCTCCTTAGCTAATTATATGGTCCACAGGAAGTTATGGGCCACAGGAACTTATGTATACGCTAAAGATGAAAAAAATAATTAAATTAATAATCCTCATTTGTCTTTACCGACCTTCAAAAGCTCAGTGATCATCTTCTCGTACGGTGCGAATCCAGCAACTTCCCTGATAAGGTTCCTCACCAAATGAACCCTCTTGCTTGTTTTCTGTTTCAATACAGAATCGACCAATCAGAAAAGCGGGAAAAATCATTAGAATCCATGGGACATGAAAACTGCACAGAGATGGAAATCCGGTATTGAAACAGACAGATGTATAGGCAAGAAAAAGGACTACGTACCCCCTTTCTGTCAGATGGACGGGGCGGCAAATCCCGCTTGGTGACGATGTGCCCCTTGTTCAGACCGACGGCCAAACCACTCTTCGCGGCGGGAGCCATTTCCTGCCGGAGAAAGAAAGCAACAGAACCTGTGGAGTTAGAAATCCGAAGAGCTGATTGAACGATCAAGCGACACGATTGGAGGAGTAAGGGTTTTACCTTCAAGCTACTTGCGGCTGCCAAAGGAAAGGAAAACGAGAAACTCTGTGATTCCAAACCCTAGTGCCAATTTATACTACAGATGGGAAGATTGAAACCCCGAAGTGAAAGGGCCGCGTTTTGGGCCATGTATTTGGGATAGCAACAGTTTGGGCCGGCCCGATGTATATAAGACTTTAAGCCTTTCCAAGTCAGTTAACGGGACCCCCTTTGTTCAACAAAGAGAATGACAATGATTGGAAGCGGTAATTAGAAGTGGGCAATGATCCGTTTCACACAGAACTGAATTGTATAAAGTTGACGTTCGATGTCCTAAAATCTGGCTCGCAAGTCATGAATTGTTGCTTCTAATTTCTCGAAATGATTGGGTTGATGGTATGAAGAACCGTCTCTTTGTTTATTATATTGTGGCTAGTTCTCAAATTCGGGCGGATTGAACTTTTTGCTCCATTGTTGATCATGAATATAGCAGGCGTTTGTTAAAGTGGTCTTCGGATAATCATTTGGCTTCCTTCCTCCTTGGACTGGTCATTAACCATATGGTACATGGGGTTGGTTGTAGCTCCAATATGGGCGCATATCCTTCTTGAGGTTGCCTTTGGTAACCTAGTAACCTTGATTCCCATAATTAACATCATCATGTCATTTCCCTTCAAGGTTCCATCAATCTTGATCGTCATGGTCTTCTTCTTCACATGCATCACGCATGAACAAGGTTGCTACTAGTTCCTTCTTTGACTCCATCTTAGCATCCTTTAGTTGTTGAGAAAACTCCTTCATTTGCTAATGCAAGATGATATTCACTTCCTCGCTTAATTGGGCTTCTTCCAATGGTTGTATCACTGATTCTTTGGATCAATTCTTGGACTTCCTTACAAGTGTGGTTAAGTGCTCCTGCATTTCACTCTGTCATTTGTGTGAATCTACATCGGGTGACTGCTTCACCATCATCTTGGTATCTCGATAGACCTTTGGAGAAGTACTTAGATACTTTCTCTTGGGTGAATACATGATGGGGGAACGCCTTTAAATACTCTTGGAATCTCTTCACCCTGTCATAGAATGTCTCTCCTTCCTTCTGTTGAATTGAATAATATAATCTTTAGGCTCCTCTATACGCCAAGGTGGAAAGAACCCCTCAATGAATACTTGTGAAAGGGTCTTCCAATTGGTGAAGGTGTTGGGCGGATGATAGTCCAGCCACTTTTTTGCCATTCTCATCGGTGAAAAATGGAACACGCACAATCAAATGGCACCTTTGATGGCTTCATCTCCAAAAATGGAATCTACAATCTCCAAAAACGTCTTTAGATGTTGCACGGATCATCATCACTCCTTCTTGTGAACCTCACATTCCATGGTTGTTGATAGTGTAGCAATACTCGAAGTAATGTTGAAAGCTCTTGATCTTGATACTCATATAGAGTATGTGGATCCTCATTCTTTGCTCCTCCCTAATTGTGGCTATTGTGGAACATGTTACAAAGGATGCTTTTTCTTCAAGATAGAAGTTGCACCCTTTGCTAATTTCCTTCTCCCAACTCGAGATCAACTTCCTCTTCTAAGCTAGGTGCTTCTTTCTATCTCAAAAAGGATGAACTCAATGCTCCTCCTTCCTTGATGATCTCATTCACGATCTTTTGGTTTTGTGTTTCTCTTCTAGTGGAAACTGCACATATAAACGAAAATCTAAAAAACAAACTAAATCTAAAGCTAATAAAGAGACATAAGATGGTTAGATGCTTTCAAATACTATTAGGAATCATCGAGAACGATGCCAAAAACTTGATGCGTGCGAGTGGCATGTACAATCAAAGTAATAAAATTCCTAGACATGTTTAGAATCGTATTCCACAATGTCGTTTAATAATAACGACTCACAACCAATCATTCAATGCTCAAAAAAAGATATAGCAAAAAATAGATGGGTTAAGATTACCTATGTTTAGTGATTTGTGAGATGCAAAATAAAGTAAAACATAAACTAAATAATATGATAAGTAAAGGATACGCAATTGATGAGAAAGTTAATCCTAGATTATCATAATTCATAATGACATGCATTGATGCATCTTCTATCATGCAACCCTATTCTTCTACTAAAGCATTCCTAATCGAACTTCTGACACATGCAAAATGAACAATAATTAGGCATTAGCTACTATGTGCCTTCGCTTCATGCCATTAGACTAATCAAACAAGAAAGTATGGATAACACATTATTAAGTGTGACTCTCTAATAACCATAACATTGGTATATATTATTGTTGATCTAAGGTATCGAACATTTAACAGTCATGTATGGATGGTTGATCATTCCATATCATACATGCATAAGATAATGACATATCACATAAGAGTAGTTTCCTGACAACTTAACATGAATAGGGCTAATTTCACTACGAGCCCAAACTATTCTAAAAGTGTCATTTGTGTCCTAAACTATTCAATATGACAAATCTGGCACGAATTATATGCGTTTTGTGACATTTGTGACTATTCAATATGGCAAATCTGGCACAAATCACATAGATGTTGACTAGATTTTAGCTTAAATACTAACAGTCTACGCCGGTCAACATTAACATATAATAATTTGTGTCAGATTTGTCATATTGAATAGTTTAGAACACAAATGACACTTTTTGAATAGTTTGGCCTTGCTAGTGGAATTAGCCTTAAACAATACTATAGTAGCACATAGTAGATGATATGGGCAACGAATTGTTAGGGCATCATGAAGCTAAGACATTTGAATAATATTAGCATCACATGAATAAGGCATCTAATGGTACAAGTATCGATTAACATAGATAAACAATTACAAAAGCATCTCATTATGCATAAGAAGAAGATGCAAAATGCATCAATAGAATTCACATCTTTAACAACAAAATTGAACTAACAATACATAAGAGAGAAGGATGGCACCACCATCGATGATGAAGACATCTCCTTAGTTGCACCCTCATATGAATGTTAATTCGACTCCCTTGAGCCGAGTAACTCTTTGATTGAGTAATAAAGGGTATTTCTAGTAATGTTTTGCAGCCTACTAAATCCCATAAGCTGACCCTCTATTTATAGTAGAAGAAAAATATAGGTATTTTCTTCCTAAAACATGACCAAAGGTGTCATGTTACCTAGTGTTGGAAGTTTGGTATCGGTATTTGGGATATAACAAATATCGTATCGAATTTATCACTATTTGATATTACCGAATACCAGTTTATTTTTTAGGGATTGGGATAGGGATTCATTTTGGAGTGCTATTCGGTAATCGGGATTATGGGATTGAGATTGGTATATACCGAAATACCGAGAAACACCAAAAATTAAAAATTAATTAAATATAGCACACAATGTTTATTCATTCTTCACTATTTCACAACTTAGAAGCCTCATCCAACTCAATTTTGACTTTCCAATTTAAGTCACTCTCTTCTCTCACCTAATATTCTTTTATTTTCATAACACCAAAAAACAAACACTAGGATTGGTCGTCTCTCAGCCTCCAATTCGTCAAATTAAAGATTACCAATGGCAAGAATTTGAGATGTCACCCCTCCTCCATTCTCTTTATCCATATCCTAGCTCTAGATAAATTCAAGAATCTTTGCTTAGTCTCTTTACCCAAAATTAAACAATCAAATATAATTTATAAATTAAATTATTAGTTACAAAGATAATTAATTTTGCATTCGATAATACCGATTGGGACACCGCAATACCAATTGGGATACCAAAATTTAGGAAATGGGATTGGGATACCGAAATTATTTAGGGATTGGGATTGAGATTGACTTTAGGGTGTAATTCGGTATTCAGAATTTCGGTGTTTGGTATTGGGATACTAATATCGTACCGATTTCCACCCCTACTGATACCCATGGGACTCAGATTTCTTATCCTTGGAAAGAAGAAAGGAATATTCCCAAAGCTTCCATGGGCTTGGGCTTACGGCGGTCAAGCGATATTCAGGGCTTTTGAGGGTTTTCCTCCGGATTTGGCTTGTTTGGCCCACAAGTAATCTCCCCATGTATTTTCCACACAACGTGATGGATTTGGCCCAGCGGCGGTTGGCACCTTCGCAAATCCCAACGTGGGTTTCGATGCAGGCTTGGGCTTAAACTTCTCTTGGGGACTCATGATGGGCTTACAGGACGACTTCTTGAAGACTTCCCCACCATTTGGCTTCGTTTACAGACGAACCACCTTGATCTTCTAGTAATTCTACTTCTTGGTCCTTCAACTTGATCCAATTGATGAACCAAATCATCCTATATCGTGTTTGACCTTGAAAAGCAAAAAATAACAATAGCATAAAATGATACTAAAATACATCTTATGTCTGTTATAAGCACATTAATCAAATAGTTATAATTTTTATCTAAAATATAAAAAAATATACTAAAGATGCATTGATAAAAGGGGAAAATGTATCAAACACCGGAGTGATAAACACTATAATTTGAGTGTAATCAAACACAAGGGTGCATAGGTGAAAAGCAATGTTGGCTAATTAATTGTCTTGAAAGATTGGTTCTAATGACAACATATTAATTTAGGTGCTTCGATGTCGTGCCCAAAGGCAAGAAACAACCTAAACGAACAAGATATGTGTATGAATCGATTGCTCAAAATCGTATCGAATTGATAAACTTAGGTGAGCAAAGGAGGCATACACCATAAGTCAATCAATCAAAATTCGGGAAAACACCTATACAAAATTGACATTCAAGTTCAATTGACATTCATATGTTCATAAAAAACAAAGTTAATGTGATTTGAGAATTTGATCGAGCACTTGGTGGTCAAATAAGCAAAGCATTAAAATTCATACAATCAATGCCCATTAATGCCTCCAAACCACATATATTTATTCACAAACATTCCAATCA